TGTAAGCGCAACACGTGCTATTCGGCTGTATTTCAATTGCCTTTACTACTCTATACAAGTCAACAAAAATGCAAAAGGACCTCACAGTAAGCACATGGTAAACATATTTAAAAATGAAACCCACTTTCCCTGAAAGCGCTGAAAAGCAAGTTTTCTCATAGCTATTTATGGATTGCTTTTGAGTATAATGTCTATGTACACAAGCCTTAACCATAGCTGTATATTCAGCATTTGTCAGGAGTATAATCTCCACACAAATTTAGTTGATCTCACCCGCTGAGCCTAAATTAACAGCACCATATACTCAGAAATGCCGTCATCTTACTATAGTACTTTTATATTTCTGAATACTAGACTGGGGGTTGTTGTATTATCAGAGTAGAAGAAAGGAAGGGGCCAAGCGCCAAGTGTAGCAGTTAAAAACAACTTTAATGCTCGTAAATTAATGCAAAGAAGTGAATTTATAAAAGTCATGAAATGCCATATGTTCCTTAGGCCTGAGGAAGCAGCACATACTTCGCAACATGTCACCACACTTGCCCAGCACATCCGGCCATAATGTTACATCTATCCATCTCTGCATTCCACACCGATCAAGAAGCCCTAGGAGCCTCTGGCACAGCAGATCAGCTGGACCATAGCAGTTTCTTCACCTAGCAGACCAGGATTTGTGGCTACACATAGAGTGACAGGACTTTTACAAGATCACTTCTGCGAGTGCATTGATTTTGATTAAAGTTGTTTTATAATGCTCCATTTAGCTGGCATTTTCCCCTTCCCATCTTTTGTTCATTTTCCAGAGTTGCTTCTTGCTCTCAGGACTAGGCAGCCACTGATTGAACCTTTACCCACTGACCTGGTTGAGCAGTATGGACTTTGCATGATTGCTTTATTAAGACTTTTATACCCAGAGGACTTGAACCCTTGCTCCTCAAAGTGCCAAAATAATTTGCGTCTAGTATTTCCCTTTTTTCAGCTTGTGTTACCAGAGTGCTGACATGTTATTAGAGGACAGCCATTTTACAGGAGAACTATGTTGGCTGCTCACATGCTGAAGGGATGCTTTCAAGCTTTTCTCAATCTGTAAGGCTTTTGAATAACTCCCTTAGAACCCTCACATGTAATCTGGAGCTGGTGGGTGGTATCTTAAGCTTTTAATATCAACAGTTTTGCCCTGAGGAAGTAAATTCCCATAAAACCTAGGGGGTGTGATGAGTTTGCCAGTGGATTTTGACTGACTGTCGCAACACCCAGCCAAAAATTGGCTGAAGGTACAGGTAACATCCTATCTAGTAAGAAGATTTCTATTGAAACCTGTACATATCAGGAAATATTTAGCCTTGCAACTTATGTGTGCAAAAAAACAGTGCCTAAATAAACTTTAGAGATAAGATTGGTGTTTCTAAGGGGCTAATTCTTATCTTTTTGCAACTCTTCTTTTGAAAGTTCCAGTTGACTAGCTATTATACTGACCATCTCACATTAAGTACTTCTAGCTCCAATTCCATGCGAGCCCTAGGTATAAATGTCATCAGTGAGCCTATTCCTTTACACTGTCTAAGCACCTCATACCACCAATATTTTACGCAGCAAAAATTCCTGGCCCAGATGAGCCTGAATGAATTTCCCTACTCTATGCATTTTTTCTCTTCTGCATTTTTTCTCTTCTTCCTCTTACCTATCGGTGTGCCACCAATGGTGTTTCTTTTCCTTTCCTGTCTTTGCACCAGGTCACTCCATTTCCTTTACGTTTCAATAGTGAACATTTAACCATTCTGCAAAATGAATCTACACTAAAGAAAGTAATTTCTTGTAGTCAACCATGGACCCCCCCCCCCCCATCTGCTGAATTGGCTACTTTGTTTGTAGTAACAAATGCATTACCTTTTCTGTTCTAGCATACTACTACTGGTCTCCTGTATTCTTTTAAATGTGAATTTACCAAATAATGTAATTTTAGCTACTTTTTAAAAAAACTATTTAGCAACGAAGTCCATCAGTGTTAATTATGTTTTATATCATGCTTTTTTGGATTATGCCAACATTTTTTTGTTATGTGAAAAAGATATCAGCTCAATGTAGCATACCACAGAAGCTTATGTAAAAAATACAGATCAAAGCTTGAAATCTGCACATTCAAAATGTACGAAACAAGTAACAATAAAATTCTATTTATTATAACGTTTGGATTCAACGAGATGACCTTTCTCAAGACATGGAAGGTCTATGGGACTGAACTCAACTAATTCACTGATCCTTAAAACAAACTGTCCTCAAAATGGATGCTAAGCCAAAACTATTAGCAAGGATTTACTATTATACTCCACCATTGTATGGCTTTTGTGAGGAAAGTCAACTTTTGCTGAGTGAGCCGTATTTGTTACTTATAAAATTTAGCTTTTATTTTCATTCCTATGATTCTTTTACATTTTTTCTGTAAAATTCTGCCTTTAGTTGAATGATTCTATGTTATATATGTTTTTTTTTCTTTGTTGTTAAAACTTGACCTGTTTTTTTTTTCTTTTTGTGTTTTTTCTGTGTAATTGATTTGTTTGTCACTTTTCTTAACTCTCCTAGCTGCTTATTGGTGAAAGTGCAAAAGTAACCCACACACTTAGCTTTATGCAGCTAGCAGCATTTACATACCCTGTCCCATTCATCCTTATAAGTCTTTTAATTGTTTAGATCCCATCTCTTTCACGTGAGTTTCTTTGATTTATTTATTTGATTTATTTAAATCTTGCACTTTGCTTTTAAGATCAACAAGCTGGGACTGGACAAGCAGGTCACTGGATGCAGTACTCTGCTTCTATTTAGATCTGTGTTTTCTTTTCCTATTTTTACTGACTTCATTCTGTACAGGGCAAAGTAAGAGAGTGCTGAAGAGTGACTGTTTTAGCTACTTTTAACCCTTGGTCTTCCTCCTTTGGGCACCAGTAATATGTATATACTTTGAGAGTAGCTAGGTCAAACACTATCTCTATTTGTAATACAATCATATAACCGATCAGAACAATTAAAATGGTAGTAACCGCAAACAAACAAACAAAAAAAGTCCTCTGCAAGGTAATGTCATAATGTACTAGTATGCATCGCATACTAGCACATTATGTAAAACTTACCGTAGCCTCCCTAGCAGTCTGATTATGACCATATTATTGTGCTCAAAGCAGTATATTTTTTTGCATGGAAATATGTAGATTTTTTATTGTAGGCCTGTAATTTTTAGGAATAACTCACTGAAATCTGTCTGAACAAGAGTCTAGTAAACATTCCGGGTATGTTAAAATTTGAAACATGAAATCATAAATTATAATTTAATAAATAATCATAAAAAATAATAATATAATAATAAAAATGTAATTCAATAATATAATCAAACCAAAAACACTGAAATTTGAAATAGAGCGCCAAGTTCGCACATCACTGGGCAAAGTCGCAAAATTGTTTTCAGTGTCTGATGACGAATTTCCCCACAAATCATTATCACTCAATTCTGCAAGTAGTTCTAATTTACTATCGCTGTTCTCTAGCTAGTCTAAAACCGCTTTTGACCTAAAGGGATGCATTTTGGATGCCATGGACTTTTCTCAGTTTCAAAGCAGAAAGAACAGTAAAAATGCAGGCAGGGCACAGGACAAAGCACTAGGGACAAAATGTATGTGAAATGGCTTGATACAGTAATATTTTACTATGTGATTTTAGTGAATTTAGTGAATGTCACTTTTAAAATTTTAAAATTTCCCACCAGTTCCATGCCCGTACGTCCTGACATCACAGGGAATGGAACCCAGAAGACAGATGCCGGCATCGGCTAGAGGACATTGTCAGGGACTCTGCAGGGGGGACATCGCAGGAACGCAGGACAAGGTAAGTGCAGAAGAGATCCCGGAGCAGTGCTGCAGGGTATTCCTGAGTGTAGCTCGGGGTTACCGCTTGTGGTGCTGAAACTTTACCCCGAGCTACACTCGGGAATACCTCCAGGGAGGTTAGAATGAAGCCTTCTAGCAGTCAGCACTGTAGAGGCTTCCATCTTCACCCGGTCTTCCTTCCGGGATCGCAAGCTCCGGCCTTCTTTTATTTTTGTATAATCTGTCTTTATTAAAGAGTTTCATAACAAAGGATACAACAATTGTGAAGACAAAAAGTTATAGTAACATAGAGAAGAGATAGCAGTTTTAAGCAAGCAGAACCCGCAACAGGCCCTGCGTACAGTGATGTAATACAAATGCACATCAAACATATGGCACAATACAATCGTCACGCAGCGAACTCCCCGCCCATCATCACAGCAGCGCGAACCAGCACAAGACTCATCACCAAGGGACCCGGCTGCCATGCAGGAGCTACGTCCATGCACGAGGTCAGCCAGTCTCAGGACATTAGATCAGACGTGCCCCCCATAACATTCCACGTTTCAAACTTAATGCAGTAGAAGTGACAATAAATAGCACGTAGGGCACTTGCATAAAAAACAGAACTCATATGTGAGATGGCAAAAACACAGAAATACAAGACAAGGAAAGAAAAGACGAAAAGAAAAGAAGAGAAAAAGAGGAGCAGAGGCCTCGTGGGGCCAGTGGAAAAAAGGATAACAACACAGGTCTGAGGTCTCAATGCTCGGGACGAAACAGGAGAGAGACAAATCAGCGAGCTCCGGCCTTCTGACAGGCCTGGCCACGATTACGTCACTCCCGCGCATGCGTGCAGGAGTCCCAGGCTGGAGCACACAGCTCTGAAGGAACAGCAAGGGTATGCCATTCCTTCAGAGCGCATGCAATGGATTAAATGAAGAGAGAATATCTCCTAAACCGTGCACGTTTAGGAAATATTCATTTTACCTACATTTAAGCTTTATTATAAGTTTACCTGTAGGTAAAATTAAAAATTAAAAAGCAGAGTTTACAACCACTTTAAAGTGCTTTGTGTCTTCGGCTTTTTCATCCATGGACAAGAAGTGTGGAGGACTTCAAAACACCTCCCCGTCTTCTCTTCTTCAGATAACAAGGGAGCAGGGGTGGACTGACAACTCATGGGGCCCACAGGCAATAGGGGATCATGGGGCCCCTGTGCCCTTGTCCAAACTCACAAAAAAACCTATGAAAAAGGTACCAGGGGCATCTCATGGGGCCCCCTACTGACCCCGGGCCCTCGGGCAGTGTCCGAGTTTCCAAATGGTCAGTCCGTCCCTGCAAGGGAGGTGTTCTGTGTGTCCACAGAGACAACTGGGACCAATGATAACTGATAAGAGAGCATCACAGGCAGACTGCACAGAAAGTCATCAATTAACTAGATTTCTTTCAAAATAAAAAGGTATTTTTTTCATTTACTGGGTCAATTTAACAAAACACTGAAAAAGGTAGCAAATATGTTCATTGCAGGGTTTCCATACACTTTAAAGATGACTTTTGTAACACAACACCTTCAAAGTTTGCAAACATATATACCTCCAAAATAAAAGTTTGTTCACACTGTTGCAGATGGCTTGTAGTTATCCCATAGTATCCCATAGGTCTGCCCAGTCCTCATCATCCATATCTGGGTCATCTGTTATCCATTTTTGTCAGAGAGAGGACAGATCTGGAAGTGCTACCAAAAGGAGATGATTGTATAGAGTTGAATTTCTAAGACCCCGAACATTCCAAGATAGCACTTTAGGTTATCCAAACTCTGAGAGGCCATGGAGTGTCCATACGCCTAAGAAGGTAGGAGTACTAAGCCAAAGAAACAAGGAGTTGCAGAACCAGTGGGCAGCAAAAGCAGCATCAGCCAACAGCTGTAACACAGTATACAAATAAAAACATCCCTGGCATTATAAGTGCCAATCCTGCCAGTGTCCTGCTAGGCTTAAAAACTAAAAACAGAAACCCAACAGTGCAAGGTAATTTAGCCTAAATTAAAAGTGAAAGTCCAGTTGCATAACTAAATATCCACTATGGGGAATGCCTGAGGAGGGAAAAATACAGTTTACAGGCAAACATGGCCATGTTATAGTCCCAAAAAAGTGTCCAAGGTAGCTCACTCAAAATGGTGGCAAACACAACTTCCAAAACAGAAAAAGTGGGTAACTAGTGGCAGGAAAAAGAAAAACAGCTCCAAAAGGAGAGTACCAGCTTTTGTTGGTATCATATGTGCTTCCATAACTGTGTCTAGATGGCTGATGTGTACAACTGACATTTTCAAGCATAGTTCTGCTATTGCAGTAGGGAAACAGGAATACTTTTGGAGTTTGTTGGCCCACAAAATCAAGAGGCTGTGCACTCCAATTTTGGAAGGCTGATTGGATCAACTTGTTTCCAGCTAGGCTGAAGCAACTGCTGAGATGTCAAATAATTGGACTGTGTTTCCCTCCACAATCTGCAATTTACTGAGATGCCTGAGATGTTTTTGGACCTTTGTGAAAAAACATCTGCACTGTTGCACTTCAGGGGAGTAATAAGGAAAGATCAAGATTTTAGCATTTTCATAATTGAGATCCAGTCTGGTTCTGGTGGCTGATAGGTCATGTCACAATCTCTGCAACTGAGTAGCTGAAGGAAAAATGGTCATGGTGGTGCACCAGGTATAGGGGAAGTGGGTGGAACATGGTGTATCTGCCCCACCACAAACATCAGTGGCAGATCTTGTTGCCTGGGACGGCGATAAGAAAGGTGTCTGCAAATTCAGCCCGCCTGGGACCTTCCACTCTCTCCTTTAATCCAATTTTATTGTTTTTTTCTAGTCAGGCAAAAGTGGAAAACTTCTTTGTATTCTACTTTTGAATAAGCATGTAAAGCCTAAGGCTCATTTTCAGTTATTTATCTTAATATATTTCCAGCCAACTGTGACTCAGCATCTATCTTAAAACGTTCAGTGATACGGACAAAGCTACAAGACAGACAGTCACTGGTGTGCTGTCTTTTTAGCTATCCTATAGTGCTTAGGGATTCCTTTGCCATGTGTTAAATGTTTATTTGTAAAACAATGATGGTATACTGTATGCAAAGTGGGACAAAATATAAAACCGGTTCTCTTTAAAATCCTAGTTTGCAGAGTATCCAAAATGCTGCAAATGTGTGTGATGGGAACCCTCATCAGTAATGTTTTAGGACTTTAATTTCCTTTACAAGAAAACCAGAGGAGCAGTGAATTTTAATGAATATAATCCCATCCGGCCAAAATGCAAACAGCAATTATGATTTACAATTATGTACAACCAATAATTCGCTATGTTATAAATAATCCACAAATTTATGTAAAATTTATTCTAATCTATAAACAGACAAAGCCATAGACAAAGGTATGGCTAAATCTGGTGGACATTTTGCAGTGTTTTGCTTTTCATGTTATATTTTGCATTTGGATATTATTTAACGTCCTTTTTGTAGCTGTGCTCTATGTTCTTTGGTATTAATGCAAACCACAAGAGTAGGCCATATTCTTTGTATGGCTGGCTTCTTGATCCTTGGCATTTGTAGTGTCCATAGAAGGGCTGTTTGTTTTTCATATTGCACATTTGTTTTTTTGAAGACTGCAGCTTTGGGACTTTGTATTCAAGTCATTCCATTGTTAACCATTCCAGGGCTAGAGAAGTTTTACAACAAATGTTTGCAGGTACTACAATATTTGTAACTAAATTTCTGCTATTTTGTATATCGTGAAAGTCATCATAGATAAATTAGTGGGGTGTGCAAACGAAATACAATTAGAATTAAAGCAGTAAGGAGTATGTCTAGTCAAAATTAAAAAAAAAAATGATCAGTACATCTCTGCTTTACATTTTGAAAATGCTGCATGTACTGAAATAACACCTGGTGATCCTGCCAGAAATCCAGTGAGCACCTATCTTTCTGTAGTGACCTGATAACTCTACCTCTGCTGTACTAAAAACATTGTTGTGAGGACACAAGGAAAGGGTTTTCTGTAGCCCAAAAAGAGAACTCACTGCTTGAGCTTTAAAGGATAAGTTCACCTTTGGAAAAATGTTAGATGTTCCACTCATTTTTAGGGTGGAACTAGAAACATGTTCTCACCGCTCCTGCAGCTCTGCCTGAGTTCTCTTATGGAGGACACAAGGAAAGGTTTTCTGTAGCCCAGCAAAAGAGAACTGTGCAGGGCTGACAACACTGACACCCCCTTTGAAAATCCCCGCAGAATGGATCAGATCTGCAGATTGAGCATAATGGATCGGACTCCGATCCATCCTGCGAGTCCGATCCATTATGCTCACCAATCCGCAGATCCGATCCATCCTCCTGCGGGGATCGTTGGCATGCAACCTATACGGGTGACACCGGATCCGCTCCACGAAAACGTAAGTTGTAAAGCAAGCTGACAATCCCCACAGAATGGATCGGATCTGTGGATTGGGGAGCATAATGGATCGGACTCTGATCCATTATGCTCAATCCACAGATCTGATCCATCCTGTGGGGATCATCGGCTTGCTTTACAACGTACCTTTTCATGGAGCGGGTCCGGTGTTACCCCGTGCGGTAGGTGTCATCCGGTGCGGCGTTCACCCCCCCCCCCCGCACCTGCCTAGGGATGCCCCTGTCTATATCATTTTAAATTTGCCCAGACATATGCTTTAAGTGAAGAGAAATCAAGAGAGAAATACAGGTTAAAATGTGTAATACCATTTGATACGTTTACAGTAATAGCACTGTGGAAAAGAATACAGAGGTATATTTAAGAGTTCAGCAACTAATACTTTGTGAGAAAAAGTGGCTTGTAATATCTCCTACCTGTGGGACAGTTGTAAAGACATTATTCTGAAGAGTGGCCTTTGTAATGGGAATATTATGCAAACTTTATACTCTCAACACCAAGTCTGTTCACATTTTTCCTCCCTGGCCTCATAGCAACTGGATCCAACATTTTGTAGTCATTGAGTCTCTTAACATCAAACAACATAATGAGTAAAACATTCTAAAGACCATAGAGGGTAATTTACCAAATAATATAAACACGATTTTTTCAAAGAAATCTGGTTTTGTACAACAAGAATATTACAATCTAAACAAATATGGTCAGGTGCGGACTGACAACTCCTGGGGCTCCCAGGCAATAGGGGATCATGGGGCCCCTGTGTCCTTGCCCAGACTCAAACCACACCCAAAAAAGCCTATGAAAGGTACCAGGGGCATCTCATGGGGCCCCCTACTGACCCCGAGCCCTCGGGCAGTGCCCGAGCGCCCAAATGATCAGCCCGCACCTGAATACGGTATACAATAAACTGTAAGTTAATTTAATCAGAATCAATATATAGAAACATGGATGTGTTATACATACATTGTAAGCTGATAATACTCATAAAAACGTAGATATGGTGCAAAATACATCAAATTGTGTATGTCAATAACAATACTATTTTTGTGAGTAATATATGTGAACAAAATACATCAAATTGTGTATATCAATAACAATACTATTTTTCGTGAGTAATATATGTGAACAAAATACCTGATATTCAGGTTTTTAAAATAGAACAAGGGTAGGTACAGGGGTAAGCTGTCAAGGTCCTACCTTTTCCCAGAGGTTATGCTGCTCCATGTGCTGGCATCCATCTTGGATTTCTGCAGAGCATGGTGGGAGTCTTTTATGCTTTCAGGCCTCTGCGTTCCATCCCCCAGAGGGGTGTGGTTGATCACATATAAGCCTGTTGTCCGCACGTTCCCTTTGCATTCATGTCTTGTATGTTCGTGTTGCAACAAGCTCTGTTTATACTCTCGTGGCTCTCCTGGAAACTGACTCGGCTTTTGACTAGACTATTCTCTGCGTTATCCCTTTATCTGACCTCCCGTTGCTGAACCCGGCTTGTGACCTGTTATTCTTGTCTACCGTTCTGTACTGTCTGTCCCGTTGTTATGGACCCGGCCTGCCCGACTACGCTATTGTCTTCTGGTTCCTACCAGCTATACACCATTGGCGGTGGCCATTACCGCAGCTGGGGTGCCTCGGGGGTCGCGACCTGGTCCCTGGCTGCGTCAAGTCCATCCCCACCATCAGGGGCCCTGGTGAAGGGCAGCCTGGGACTTAGATTCCGCGCCCTAAGGGACTCCGGTCTGTGGGTGGTGGTTGTCTTCAGTCGGTGCGTGACCCTGCCATTAGGCCTGCCTGTCCGTTCCACAGCTCTGGTCCTGACATAAGCCCAACCCCAATAATAACAGGTAAAAGGTGTTTTAGAAGGTGGTAGTCACTGAGTAGTAAGGGTGGGGC